TAAACCCGGGTTTCATGGCAGTTTGCCACAGGACTTGGGCATTGACCCCTGAAGTGGGCTTTTTTTTTGGGCCTGGGCTGGCTTTGTTCCGCGGGCGGTTTGATTTCTCATACTGTGTCAACAAGTGCCCGGTCAATGTTGGAGTCGGAGCTGTGGCCTGGCTCAGTGGCCCTACCAAGCACACTGTGAAGTGCCATGGACGTTTTACCACCTGTCGATGCCTTGTCTGAAGCTCGTCCTTCCCGTTTTACAATTTCACTTGGAAACACTTGCCACCGCCACTACCGTAAGGTCCGACTCTGGGTCAGACCAAGAGGAAGACATTGTGGACACAGAGCCGAACACGGGTGCATCTCAGAAGGTTTGCGCAATGAAGTTGGTACTGTAACTAGTTTGTTACGCTGAATTTCCATATTCCCGTTAAAAACCATGCCAGCCTCACAGATGCAGGTGTTGAAACTACACGTGAAGCGCCGTTGGACAACAAAGGGAAAGAACAAGGCGCGTCTGACTGAAGCCTGTCGCCTGCATTTTTTTGCGCGCAGACTGGCAAGCTTCCACCTCATGGCCTCATCACTGTTTCCAAGAACTTGGTGCAAGCCAACATTCCGCCTGGCAAAGTTGCCCCGTTGAACATGAAGTGCGTGGTTTCCTCAGTCATTTTCTCACAAAAAAATTGAGTTTGTGCTGCTTGTGAGGTCTCTCGTCAAGCCGCAGACAAAAAGCCGAATGGGGCAGAGATTTGGAGAGGCTCGTTCACTCTTATGGGACGAAACATGCAGTCACTGGTAACTATTACATACGTGTGCACATTCCGTCGTTCAAAGTCCAATCCTTGCCCAGAGAGCTTGAGGCAGCCGCACATTCTCGGCATACGGCACCATTCGTCGTAGACCCAATAGCTGGGGCGGTATGAAACACGCGTTCACTTTGAGCATGGGCACACACAGCCGGTTGCTCAGGTTGCTATAGCGCTTGCACTGTGGTGACACAGACAGAATGCAGCGTTCGTGGGTCGACAGTCGTTTGGAGAACATAGATCAGTGATTTGCAACGTTGTTTCTAAGTTTGCCATCTTAGGGCGCTGTGCTTGGATTTTGCGACAAGCTTTTGTGTTTTCAAACGGAGGATTTGGCCAATCAGATTTGGCATTGGGATCAATACCAGCGCACGATGAGGGATCTGAACACAGATGTCAATGAAATGAGGTATTTGAGTGTTGCAGCTGGTGAGTACTTGTCAGGAGGGGTTGACAGTTTTCGCAAGTACAATCACTGACGGTAAATGTACATCTGTTTGTTTTGAGATTGCGGTCTCAACTTTCCATTTTGTGCATGATTCATGACCTGCCACGCTGGCCAGGCCTACCTCTTGGCTGGACATCTCCGCAAACCACTCTGGACCCAGATGTCCTCAAGAAGATGTTTCCACAACAGCTCCAGGCAAGGGTCTGTCTCCTTGCAGATGATTTCAATTGTATTTATATAATTTTCTTATGTGGGAAACACTTAAAAATGTGGCCTGTGGCAGGGGCTCAAGAAGATTCCTTGCATTTCGCTCTTTAGCGGAGTGGGAGGATTAGACGCTGGGCTTTCACCGTTTGGCTCCAAGAATTGTTTGTTTAGCCGACTTTACCAGTGCTTCTGAAGTGCACTGTGTCATGTTTGGTGACTACGGGCTTACAGTTTGGCTCGAACATGGAGAAAGGACCGTCATTGCCTCAGTGTTCCGGCGCCAATGCCATCGCTACTGGGTGGATCACTGTGCGTACAGTCGGTGTGAACCAAGTGCGGTTACTTGGTTGGAGAAGTCTGAAGTCATATTTCAAGATGTTGAACAGGTTTATGGATATTACTATTATACGACCAATTTCTATTATATGAACAATAAATGCATATATATATATTTGTGTACACTAGAAACCTTTGTGAGTGTGTCAAGACTCTTGAAGTCTGAAGTTTCTTTATTTTTTAGGGTGCCGCGTGGATGTGAAGTGCGATGCCGTTGGCATGGCGAAGCGCCGCTTGCTTTGTCAAGCCATAATGTCCCGATTTTTCACAGCCGTAGATTTTTTAGCTGCAGATTCAAAGCTGCAGTGTATGTATGAGGTATCGATGGGCCAACACTCACTGGATACCCTGCCAAGAGCAAAGCATTGCGAAGAGTGATGGCTCCACTGGTCAGGCAAATAGGGTCTGTCATGTGCATCAGGTGTTGCCATCATAGTGTTGTGTTTGAGCCTGGGTTTCCGGACAGGTTCAGACCCAGAGTCCTGAAGCGCCAGCATGCTTTGAACCACCTGCAAAGCGAACCAAAGTCTAAAAATATGCGTCGCCAAAGACACAGTCAAAGCACCAATCCTTGGCATGTGGGTGTGCCGTTTTCAAAACCAGGTTTTCGCAACCTTTGATGTCAGCTGCTTGAGGTTTCTGGAACCACTGGCATACGCAAGCATCTCAAGAAGATTGAAGGTTAGTCATTAATTTCCGGAAAGTCATGAGTGTCTCAAGACCAAAAGTCATTCGGTCCAAGGTGGAGTGCGATACCCACTGCCGCGCAGTGCTGGAAGCACGTCAAAGAGATGGATCTTTGCCAAAAACTTTGTCCCGTCAGGCCCTGCAGCCACCGCCGCAGCGGTGGTTGCAGGGTTTCCATGTCAGGCGAGAGGTTCAGGTTTCAGGTCCACATCAAGGCTGTCTGCATTTCAGTTTGTCGCACATTTTGAGATACGTTTAAAGTTTGCGACCGGAATGTTTCTTTTGAATCTGCGGTGAGGGCACCTCCAGCGCTGGCTCACAGAAAGGACTGAAGGACCCTCGAACGAAGCTCTTGAAGGAGGCGATCAAGGTTGCAGACTCCCTGCCAGCTTTGTCATTCCCTGAGCGTTTGATGCTCTTTCTTTGTTGTGTTTCCACTGCCTTTAGAATGCAAGTTCTTGCTTGAACACTCAAAAGCGGTTGTCCAAGGCAGCTTCTTTTATTGGAGAACGTCCTCGGGCTCCTGAGCTCCCAGGATGAATGCCGGAAGGTCTTCAATTTCTTGACAGAGGCGCAATTTTTAGCACTGGACCAATCTGTGTGCTGAAAGCCATCTATTGGCAGTCAATGTTATAGCCTTTCTCATAGGTGTTGAAAGCCATCCTATTGCAGCGGTCAATGTTTTGGTTGTTGCTGGACCATGTGAAAAACAGTTGGCAGGTCTGTCAACAACGTGGACTTCAGCTCTCGTGGGTTTCTTTGCGTCTCCATCATTGCGGCCTGCCTGTTCTTTGCTCAGCCTTCTTTGGTGGTTGCCTTCTAAATGCATGTTGTGCGGAGTGAGGCTGGGCGAGGCCGGGTGTTCCTAGCAGCAACACCTCCAGGCAAGCAGATCTTGCACCCTGAGGCGGGCCGCTGGGCCAGTGTTTCTTTTGGCTGTGATTTTTCAATTGTTTTTGCACCAGAGGTGAAGTATAAGTTATTGTAACACGAACAACACCTTTGCAGGCCGGTAGCTATGTTGACTACTTCTGGAACAAGGAATGGAATGAGCGCAACACAGTTGCGCTTTCAGAATGGTTGGAGCCCTCTCGAGATGCCATGGCAAAGTGCCAGATGCACTCACTGGGCAACATTGTGGTCCCTCCTCAAGCGTTCACAGGCTATTGTGCTTTGTCTCGTTTGATCGGGGCACCGCAGCCTTAGAGGTTGTGAGAAGACTAGGATTCACGCTGATGTGTTTTGCGTGTTTGTTTGTGAGCGTTCTACACTGCCCAACGCAAATGTTTTTTTGTTGTTTCCATCGTTCCTTTCTCAATCACCAGCCTCAGAAGCCAGACCTCCATGTAATTTGGTTCCTGTTGAAGCCAGTCGCTTGGCCAGCTTCCATTCAAACCATGTGTGGGCCAACCCGAAGACCGCTCGAAGTTGGACTGTGTTGTTCGGCTGCTTTCCAAGTGATGACATGGTGAGGCTCATGCGTTTGGTTGCTTTAATTTGTATTGCCGAATTGCAGGAGCAACGAGGTTTTGATTTCGTTGCAGGCAAAAGCGGGCAGCAAAAATTTGGCACGCTGTTGAGGTTCCAAACCCTGTGATGCTTCCTGTTCTGTATACACAGTCTAGTCCATGAGATTTGAGGGGTTGTTGTAAAGAGATGGCAGAAGCTTCAAATTCCAACGTAACGGTGTTGTATGGGTATACCTTTCGCAATGATGGGCCATGGGCGTTATGTTGAGTTCTGCTATTTACAGTAATTGGGCTGTGTTCCTTTCACCAACTTGAGCCATCACGGGTCCGAGCCCGCCTGTCCAAGTGGCCACCACTTAACAAGTGAAGCAAGTTTAATGACTACCACTGCTACCGGATTGCAAGGCTTTTGTTGTAGCTCAAGCAAAAAGCTTTTCGAATGGAACCACTTCTGTTCTGCGAGTGATTTATTAGAGTTGTCAATGGGGCGTAGGGCAGTCAAATAGTTTCGCTTGATGGCTGCCAAGCGTTCATGGCAGGATGACCTGTTCTCCGGCCAACTTTGCAAATGCAAGCAGAAGTGCGCAGACTTGTTCCGACCCCCAGAGAAGTACCAAGCCATACGAGACTACCGGAGTCAGTGGGACAAATTGCACAAGCTTGACCAAGACACTGTGGTTCTTTGTTTCAACCTTTACAGCTTTTCCTTTGGGAAGCATGGTTGAGGCTTTTCATGGTGACAGGTGTTGGTTTTGAGGAGCAGCAGCGTGCACCAGTCTTTTCACGGCAACCAGTTTTTTGATGGGCAGGGAGCAAGTTTTGTCTGAGGTATTTGATGCAATGCGGTGCGCCCTCCGGGACAAGGAGTCGGACGGCCAGCACCGGTGTCAGTGGCGAGTTGCTGGTGAATCAGTTTGTATAAGAGCATGGAAGCGTCTTCACAATTTGGGCAACAAGTCTGACGTATTAAAAGGTATATAGTTGGTACAGCTACTAGCAGCCTACTGGCATGTCAATGTGTGTGCTTACAATGCAATGGGTCGCGACGTGTGAGGTAATCAGCGCTTTGATCGCCTTCTGGCAGCAGCTCGAGGAGGAAGCTTGGTTGCTCCGGCAGATTTGCGCTTCCTTCGAAAGGAGGCACCGGACCCTGCCCAGACATCAGTGACTGGGCGTATAGTTTCATACTTGCAGAACATCTATGATTCAATCGCCGAGACTCTCCCCGACTTTCGGGATTGCGATGACATCCGTACTACTTTGGCCTCCAGGGGAAGTGAGGAAATCGAGGACACTTATGCCAAAGCCTTGAGCGAGGGCACTCACAACAAAGACGAAGAAGTTATCAACGAGCTCTTGAAGCCAACCGCCAAGAAGAAGCGCAAACTGAGATCCGTGGTGGTGGATGCTCACAAGCAGGTTCCCCTAGAGGAACGGTGGCTGCCCCCGGGCGCTACAATGAAAGACTACTGGGAGCAAATGTGCTTATCAGACCCGGCTGAGGCTGTATCGTTCTCTGCCTTCTGGAAGGCTGCTCATTTGTACTTGTGGTGTTGTAGATTCGGGGCACGTAGGATGGTGGGTCTAGAGCCCGGAGCTGTTTGTTGTTCTGGTTGTGGAGGTCAATTTCATTGTAACTGGTTCAAACCGAACAAAACCAAGCGAGAGGTTTTTGGAGACCAAAGTTCACAATGAACAATGTTTGCGTGACAGGTTTGGCATACCCATTTTGGGTGTTTGAAGTTCAGGGCGCAAAGCCAACACAGTGCTTGCACAGAATGCTTGCGCC